AACAACATGGCCAACCAGAGAGGCCTGACCCCAACTCTGTGTTCTCATGTCACCCAGGCTGTCAGAGTCTCTTCAGGTCACTTGTGTCAGTGGGTCTTTGGGTGGCTTGTATTTGGCACCACATCTTCTAATATGCTAAGATGTGTTGGACATGCTCTAGAGCTGGACTCCCACCAGAAAGGCCAGATAGATCGTAGAGGGAACTCCTGAGCCAGCCTCCAATCTCTCATTATCTTGAGGACACCATTACTATATGCTGCATCTCAGAACTCCCACGTCAAAGGACTGAAATGCTATTCTAGTTATTGTCAGTGTCCTAATGAAAATGCTCTTCAGTTCTGTGTTCCTGAGGGAAATTATTGCCTCACTTGTATTCTCAGCCACATAATATGAGAGAAAATAATACAAGAGAGTTTTGGAAGAACGATTTAAGGTACTCCAGGTACAAATGCATATTTTCATCATTCATCACCTTCACATCAGTGACCAGACAGAGCATATGAAGGAGATATTGGAAATACATCTTCTCACAAGTTAACCTGGCCACTTACTTTCCTTTAGCTAAGTTTTTATAAAGTAATATCCTTCATGCATCCACAAAATATATCCCCCTGCACAGTAATTCCAGCTTTCATATTTTTTACTTGCCCACAACACAACGCTCCACCTTGACACAGGCAGCCTGACAATTCTTGAAGGAATTCATGCTGGAATCCACTCTGGGTGAACTGAACTCTGTCTGATGTGGCTTCTCCATGCTGGGACACTTTCCTCTCAGCACACTCTGGTCCCATAGATACCCTCCATTCACAGGTCAGCCCGTTGACCTCTGGCACATCTCACGCATTCCTCTGTTATACCTTGACTCTCCAGGCCGTGTCTTCATATTCATAGTTCTCTTTCTGTCCTCTGAGCCTTTCCAACTTGAGATATGTTGTTTTCTTCCTTGTTACAACTTAGTTCCCCCCCTCCACCCCGTGGCAATTCTGATTCTCTACCCTCGCTATTGTGTATTACTCAAGTAAAGCTTCTCCCTCACACCCAGCCCTCAAGGACCCTGGAACCTCTGACCTGGGACTGTCCTCATTTGTCTCACTCCAGCCCTATGGAACTACTTATGTTCCCCAAATAAATCACACCGTCTGCTTACCTCAATGTCTTAATATGTACTGTTCTCTTCCTGGAATGATTCTCCTACTTCTTGCCCAGCTATCACCTCCTCATTAAAGTCTCAGATACAGTTCCCAATCTTCTAGAAAGCCTGCACTGACCACTCTTTGGAATCATATGCCCCTTCCTGATGCTTCCCTAGTGCGCTTTGTGCCCTTTGATCGTGCACGTGCTCTACCCTACTGCCATTGTTTGCTTATGTACCTGTCAGCCCCGCAGTCCACAGGGCAAGGGCGAGACATTTCTGAATCCTTAAAATCTAAACTAGGGATTTTGCATATCAGCTTCACAATAAACGTTTGTTGAATAAATGAAAAAGTAGAATTGTACTTCACTTACTTCCAAAAATAAATTTAACCATCTTATATTTAATATTGAAACTTGTAAAAGAAGATACTAAGAAGTAAGCCAAAGGACATCTGGTTCCAGCAACATGGCGTACTGAGCTAATGTGGAACCCCTCACTCAAAAACACCTAGAATTCTATATAAAATGAAATTCAAAAGAGGTATTACAAGACTGAGTTTACGAAATAGAAAGCGATACCCCCAACCCATGCTAGCAGAGCAGCCAAGAATGTGAGTTTATGTGCCAGGAACTCTGAGGAGGTCATTGGACCCTAAAATACTGGTTGGGTGGTTGAGTTCTAATACAGACACTGGAGATGAGACTTGGACGGCTAGGATGTGGTGACTGGGCCTTAAAAGAAAAAAGCAGGAAATTTGGGGGAAACACCAAATAGAAGTTCCAGAAATTATAAATATAATGTTTTAAACTTAAAATACACTGAATAATAAAAGCATATTAGGCACACAGATAGTTCAGAGGAAATTACTCAGAATGCATCAAAAAGAGATAAAGAGAAGGAGAAAATGAGGAAGGTAAAAAGACATAAAGAATAAAATAAAAAGATCCAAAATATGTTTTGTAGGCATTCCAGAAGAAAAGTTTAAAAAATGAGAGAGGAACATTTGAAAAAATAATAGCTAAGAATTTTTTAAAACTGACAAAATCATCCTCAGATTGAGGAATCACGATGATTCCCAAGAAAGTGTACTCTTCCTGAAGAACAGTTTGACAACGGCTGAGAAAGTTGACGCCATCCCTGCTGACCCAGAAATCCCTCTTCTAGATCTATAACTGGAAAATGTCTCCTACATATGGGCAAGGAGTCATTTGCAAGAAAGTTCACTGAAGCCTTGTTTGTAATAGAAAAAAATTAGAAACGAAATTGTTCCTCTGTCCAGTAACAGATAAATTGTGGATTATTTTTTCTTACAATGGAATATCACAAAGAAGATAAAATAATAAGCCATGGCTACATATATCAATAATGTTGAGTTAAAAAGGAAGTTTCACAAGATTAAGTACAGTATAATATCATTTCCATAAACTTGAAATATACATAGAACAATACTATATGTTGTTACTAGATATATACAAATGTAATGAAAATATAAAAGTATGCATGGAAATGTTCATATCAACTTCAGGATAATGATTACCTCTGGTAGAGCAGAAAGGAGAAAGAATTAGAGTATGGTTAATTGTATTTCTTTTTATAAAGGAGACATCTGAAGGCAATATAGCAAAATATTGCCAACAGTAGAAATCTGGGTGGGACTTCTGGTACATTATTTTCTGTATATTTTGAAATATTTCACTGATAAGAATTTTAAAAATTAAAGCTAGATCCTAAGACAATTAGAACAAGAACAAAGGAGACGAGATTCCTCAGGTATTAATTTTGAACTGATGTCAAAGGAGATAGTCACAGTTAACATATGGCCCTTAGACAGGTCACAGACTCCCTCCTAAGCCTTGTTTCTTTTATCCCCGGTTCCTGGAATAAGTTATCACAACTGGTCTCTAAATTTACATCAGAAACTCATTGTCAGTCAGGCAAAAAGGCAAACACATTGTGTTTTTTTATTAATAGTTCTCATTACTGGACAAAGGAAACATGCAAGTTCAACTGGAAAAGAGATTTTTTTTCCTGCCAATGAATTTGGTGAGTGTTGGGAGGCAATTCTCCATGGATTTCTCTCATTCCTGTAAAGACTGGGCCTTTTGAGAAAAAAAAAAAGCTTAGCTTGTGAGTAGTGTAAAATCTCAGGTCCTTCCCAGATCTGACGTAGCAGAGAAGCAAAAAGGAAGATGCTGAAAAACGTAATGGATAACATCTTTAAACATGATTTCATGCTAAATACAGAAATATTCTTCAAAGGACATTTCTTCTATCAACCTTCTATAAAAACTATAGGTTTGACAATGCAAGGAAAGAAACAGCAAGGCAAACACTAGACTCGGAAAGATATTTCAGTGGGAATTTAAGATAATATGGTTCAGCTATGTTTCTTTTGATGATCTAGAGATATAGGAATAAGGCCTATAGTTTTTAGAGAATCCAGTGGCTAGCAAACACAAACTATTTTTTACTTTCTCAGACATCAGGTATTATAAGGGAGCCTTTTATAAGTGCTGTTCTTAGGCAATTCATAGGTGAAATATCCAATGGTTTCTGGAAATGTCAAAATCATTGATTAAAGAGAGATTCCTACATAGCAGGTATTTTGTTGATTTTGGCCACCCGGCATCCATTTTATCCTCTTCTTAAAACAATCCAGACTTTTGTTTGAGCATTCACCAATTCCACAGCACTCTCAGGTCATGTAGTCTGGAGACGGGTCCAACCCCAGCTCTAGGGATAAAGCAGGTAATCAAGGCCTAGGCCAGCCAGTGCGTCTCATGTCCTTGGTTTGAAGGTAAGCACTGAGACATGAGCCCTGCTTTAAAGTGAACATGAGGACTTTGCCAGGAATGTGGGGTCAAGGACTCTCTCTCTCTTTTCTGCTTGGAATTGAACCTGGAAGAATGTGGCCCTAGGAACGCTGCAAATTATCTTGTGAACATGAAGGTAACGCCAGTCTAAGAATGGAGTCAACACAGAGAAAGCAGAACTAAGAAATGCAGAGGAGAGAAATGGGGTCTGGAAGGCATCATTTGAGTACCTGTATCCAGCTATGTCTGGAATCTTAACAACTCTGCATTATTTACACAAATCTCCTTTTTTGGCTTAACCCAGTTTGAGCCTGGTTTTCTCCCTCTTTAACAGAAGAGTTCAAATTGATTCACTCTGGGGTTTAGATGCCAGACTTGCAAACAAGATTTGAATTTTTTCTGTAGTGAAAACTTAGGATGCTTTGTATAATGCCCAGACTGAAAAGCCCAGAGTTCTGTGCCATAAAGTTTAGAAAGCAAGAAATCAGTCCTGAAAGTTTTAAGAGATGCTGTCCTTAACAAAATATAACAGAGCCTCAATAAAACAATGTAGAAAATGTAATTTGAAATGTATTTGGATATTGATGAGTTTATCAAAATAAGTTTATAGTTAAATATACTCAATATATTGTCTCAAACAAAGATGATCTTGGAAATATAAAAAAGTTAAGAGAAAATAAGAGCAAAACACAACCATTGTTAAGGCTTGTTGTAGGATTTCTTTTGGGTTTGACTTATGTGGTAATGTGCATGCTTGTATTTAAGTCAAACCATTTGAAATTGACAGTTTCATATAGTTCAATCTAATAATGAGGTAGAAAAAAGTCACCATTACCTCCCCTTTCATATTTATTTAAACCAAAGAGTGTACTCTATTTTTTTTTTAAGAGGCCAAATCATTCTTTTCTCTCATCCAAATATATCTGTAGGACAGATGTAGGACATGTAGGACAACCAAATGCCCTACATTTTCATTTTTCAATTTTGCAAATTTAAAATAGTTTCTTTAAAAAGGGTCCACATCTTGTGTAAATGCAATATTCACTTACCTGCATGTTATATAGGGGTTGCCTTGGCGCATTAACTTCTCTCAGCAGACGACAAGCTATGTCCCTTAGCTCTAAAAGTCTACATGAAAGCTGAGGCTGCAGAAGTTCGGCCACTGATTTGGAGGATCTGGATATGCTGCTTAATCCTCGAATTAATGTTCCCCGATTAATGTTGCTTAAAGCAATAGCCATCCTGAGTTTGGGTGTTTTCTGCGTGGGTCCTCTTTTCTGAAAAATAAGCCTTAGGAAAGTAACTGATATGTGCTTCTCCAATGCATTATTAAAATCTGCTTCTGGCAGAGACTGAGTACATTTTGGGTGGTGTCATGCCAATAATTATATACCCCTGTACAGCCCATTGATTCCCCCGCTATGTACTTAAATCTTTATGTGAACATATATTTTTTCCTTTGAATAAATATCCAAAATTGAAGTAAATAGATAAATAAATTTTTCATTTTTCTCTCTGGATTTATATCATTTTTTGCACTAAAGTTTTAAAGAGCTCTTTCAAAAGTAAACAAGGATTCAATGTTTGAGTTATTTAAACAATAATACTTATTCAAACTATTACAAATATTTTCCCAGTTTAAATTTTTTTGATAGAACATTTAGAATTTTTATCCACATATAGGAAATTCTTGGATCTAGAATCTTATTCTTTTTATACAAAGATAATATAAATTTAGCCAAAAATTTACAAAATAATTGCTAAAACTGGCTACTAATGAAGGATTGAAGATAAATTATCTTACGTAATAATAAATATCCTGAGCTTGATAAAATTGCTTTAATA